ATGGTTCGAGTCGCAGAATTGACGTGTCCACACGCACCACCTGCCTCTGAATGTAATATTTCCTATCCATCATAACTTCAACATCAGCAAAGGCGAGCTTGCCATATGCACTGAAATGGATCAGAGTTCCTACAGTGAGCAACGGTGAGCCTCCATCTGTATTCAAAGATAATGGAATTTATTATGCGCATGTGTGCCGTATTCGGTACAACCAAGCCTCTTTGTCGCTCATCCTGGCATCCGTCTATTCACATCCGCCATCCGTCTTTGAACCCGACCTGTGACGGCGCGTGTCGCACGCGCCAAGGTACCAGCATCTCTCAACTGCTACCATTTCATTTGTGGCGATCGAGCAGCAGTACTGGGAACCTGAAGAAGCGCCCAAACCCTAATAGGCACCGGTGAGTGACTGACGCTTTCACTAAACGGTTTACAGCGCCCCCTCATCAGTCAACCTGTGCAGCCAGTCGTGCACGGTTCGTCCGCCGATGCATCCCCGTGCACGGGTAGTAGTGGCGCGACGACAGACACGGCGCGTCTGCCGACCTCGCCGCGCTCACTCGCCCAGCTGAGAGGCGCGCCGGCCGACGCGCCGGCCCCCGGGTTGGTACGGCCGCTCATTAGACGGCATGGCGCAGAACCATGTCTGATGTCTGCTGTGTGAGACTGAGGGGACCGCGTCATGCATGCACACAAAATGCGCGCTGGAGTAAACTGAAGCATATGTATGCAAGCCAGTTCATGACCTTGAATGATTTGTCTCTGCATGCAGCATCTAAGCTGCCCCGCCATGCCTGTGATTGCAATTTCAAGACATGTCTAGTACGGTTTGAGTGCACTGATGGCTCCTGCTCTTCATTGCGTAGCATATGCGTTATGATTAATAAAACAATACACTGTAAGACTACGTGACCTGATTTCACCTGGGGTAGGTCTTCCACAGAGCATTCATATACCAGTTATCTGAAGTGGTTTGTCACATTGCGCCAAATTTCGCTTATCGCATCGTCACAACGTGCGGTCAACATATGCCAAGTAGAGAAAATATTTGGCCTAAAAAAGCTTTGACCCTGTTCTCTCAAAGGTGGAATGCATATAAGCCGAATTTTCCCGACCGAAAATAAAAAAAATAGAATCACCTTTTTCCGATGAACTTAACAAAAATATGCGCAAAATATAACTAAAAAAGCATGCATGACATCACCGACCTAGTCTGACCTCAGACGTCGCAAATAAATAACACAAAGACATCGTGTGCAGCCGGACAGCTGTGCCGATGAGCATTGTATTGGTACTTTCCCCGTTACCCACTTCGTTTGGTGTGGCTGCTACCGGCGGGGGGCTATGGTTCATGTACTCCAATAAGCACATTAGCTGTGCTGTCTTCCCGTGACCTCGGGGGTCATTAAGTCCACCCCGACCTGCAGCCTGGGCATTTCCAGAACAGGAAAACGAAGAGAGAGACTCCAACGTGGCACTTACCTCCCACTTTGTCCTTATTGAGACCAAAGCTGCCATGTTACTGTATCTAGCAAACTCAGCAAAAAGAGGGATACCAAAGGAATCGGAAGCGTGTCACGATCGTTCGCACAACTGACCTACTAATTATTTGCGATAGGTCAGTCCATGTGGACGATAGTGCAGTGATGCAGAGATATTTTCATACAATATCATCATTTTCAGGCAGGTTATTTTCGGAGGCCAGCATTCTATTAATCTATGGTTTGATTCGGCGTTAAAAGACCAATTCAGAGGTCAAATTTCCTGAACTTGGACTTTTCTTGGCTTCACGTACCCATATGTAAAGGACCATGCCTCGCAGTGACACAACACCTAACTGGCATGTTCCTCGTTTAATTTTCGGTGTAATGGTGTGCATTTTGTGCTCTGAGCATGCGTTTATGATGAAGGGTTCCTCGCTTAAATGACGTCGGTCTGCCGCGCCCGGTCCGCGATCGGACCAAGTTCGAACCGCGGACCGTGCGCGCACCAGATCGATTCCAATGGTCGGCTGCCACCCGCCGCCCGCGTGGGCCGTGGGTTACCGCACACCCGCCGCCCGCGTGGGCCGTGGATTACCGCACACCCGCCGCCCGCGTGGGCCGTGGGTTACCGCACACCCGCCGCCCGCGTGGGCCGTGGGTTACCGCACACCCGCCGCCCGCGTGGGCCGTGGGTTACCGCACACCCGCCGCCCGCGTGGGCCGTGGGTTACCGCACACCCGCCGCCCGCGTGGGCCGTGGATTACCGCACACCCGCCGCCCGCGTGGGCCGTGGGTTACCGCACACCCGCCGCCCGCGTGGGCCGTGGGTTACCGCACACCCGCCGCCCGCGTGGGCCGTGGATTACCGCACACCCGCCGCCCGCGTGGGCCGTGAGTTACCGCGCATTGTTCCCAGAAACTGTCGCTTCGTTGAATCCAGAAACGCTAGGGATGCTTTTTGTATCAAAACACACGCAATCGACGTCCCAGGACGTATCACAATTTTGAGCGCGACTGCACATGTCGGAGAGGTACCCTCAGGGAACGTGAGGGGGTCTCATCAACCCTCTCTCTGATGGCGAGGGTTTGCGTACTCAATCTCAAAAATGTCCGCAAGATGTCGCGTGATAACCGACTTTTCCAACAAGCATAGATATCAATTCTTCAAAGAGCCTTAAGGTGAACGCCTTTCGCTTGAACTGATTGTCGGTGCCACCCCCACCAACCTCCCTAGATCCGAACAAGAAACGGAATGCAAATATTGCACCCTAACAATCCATAAGCAGTTTATGTTTGGTCAACCAAAGCCCAAAGCCATGCCTATTGATTCAGCATTCGAGAGAAGTGATAACCCTGGGTTTAGCTTATTGGTGAAAATGCGCGTGGGTGTGACTTCTAAGAAGCGAGGAGGTCATTATGGGCGCTGTTCTATATACCACTTTGAGGTTAACATCATCCTGAAATCATTTGACATTGCATCATCAAGAGTTTGTTGCGTTGAGAAAGAGTGAGTTGGCAATTCTGACATCAAAATTGCGTGATATGATGTTTTTAAATTAACCTTGGTGCCTTAAGTATGCGCAGACATAGTAAAATAAATTACATTTGCCCTATATTTGCCCATCTGCCCCACATCGGACAAATGAAGAGGCAAAATGAAGGCACAAACGTAGTGATGAACTTGCATCTCCACTCCCCATTCCACACCTACACCCTCTCGTGACCAATCGCAGTCATTGTGGTAAGAGCTGATACATACTGTGACGAAGCAATTTTTCGGCATCGGTGGATTGGGATTCAAAATGGAAATGCTGAAATCAAACAGTGCTCACTATAAAAACAAATAAATAGGTCTTCCTTCAACGGAACGAGATATTTGGATTGGGAACTTTGGGCAGGCATTTCGCAGCTTCTAATTCAATTTCTAGGCAATATCTATCAGTATAGGCATTCTAAACTTCGAAGAGGATAGCGGCATCAGTTGAATACTTCTGGGTGCATTCGCAAGATACGTCTGAAAAAAGATGTTGGCCGTAACTTGCCACTAAGGTATTTCTACAACACGAGGTAAATCATTTGTATACCTACGTCGGCCCTGAACGAGGGAAATTCACGACAGAAGAAACTGAGCTAATTTGGAGCAGGCCTGATTGAAACAGCGCTATTGATTTTGCAGAATTCATGGTTTTGAGCCACTTCACGGTTCTACAAACAAACACAATACTCAATATATGAGAGCAAGGCCTTACGAAAGCAGTGATGCAAAGCACAAGCCATGATTTGAACATGACAAAACCTTAAAGTGGGCTTGCGTGGGCGTTCTTCAACGTCATACCGTTCCTCATTTTTGAGAAGGGACAGCAAAAAACGACCAAGATAACATGCACTGGATTGAAAATGTGAACAGGCTGCTCTATCTGGTGAGCCAGGATGCCTGCCGTGCTTGAGTGGCTGATGTAAACAGGATGTTCTTCTGATGCTTGCGATCATGAGCTGTAGCTGCATGATACATTTCACTTGGTGGCATGCATGCTGTCAGCGTACAGATGTAAACATTGTTGAGTCCCACGAAGGAGCCTTCCCTATAACTGCATATCAAACGTGGATCCGCCCCAACTGGCTTGGCAGTGGATCACACACACACACACGCACACAGGTTTTAAAACCGGATGAACATCATGCGTACACCGCGACAATGAGCCGACACCAATAATGGAATCATCATGCTAATAACATGACGACCGATTTGACGAATAACACCGACATGCAAAACACGACCTAAAATAATTAAAAGACAAGAAACTCAGAGGAAGAGAACGTAGGCCGTAAACACCACTTCATTCCCGCGACGAAAAGGACGTTGTGAGACGCGTTCCTTCGCCTTCCGACGGACGCTGCTGGTGGCTGTCTGTCTGGCCGCCCGAGTCGCGGAAACAGCAGCACACCGGCGTGACACGAGGCAACGGCGCTCGGCACAAACCCAGACATCCGAGCGAGAGCGCAGCGCGCTTACTCTCGACTTCCAAACGAAGAGCCCGGACGAATGTTCATCACTTGCGCGCGAAATTCGCTGCAGCTGAGCGCGCTTACCGTAACCAATTACCGTAGCCCGTTTTTTTTGGCCTGAGCTACGCAGAACGTGGCAACAACTAACTGGAGAGGGCTGCTATTGCACTGAGCACGGACTAAGTGACCGTTTTAAGCCCTGCAAAAGCAAATTTTCACTATGGTATCACAATACCGATACTTTTCAAAGTGGTGGAATGATATTGTTCCGCCCAAACGAAGGCTGCAAATTGTAAGACTAGGCTAGAAGCGAAACGAGAGAGGCCCGATGTGTTTTAGTGACGGCTTTACAATGACATACCAGGAGACGAACGAAGTTTTCCGAACCTATCTGGGTTAGTCCCACAATCTTCCGAATTTATCTCCGACTTTTTCCACGCCGACGTCTCACAACGTGAACCAAACCAGAACCAACTGATCCGGTCGAGAGGAATACGTACTCTGCTTACCGGCTCCTCGTTGACGTACCAGTGCAGCTTGACAGGCGGGTACGAGCGATATGACGAACAATTGAGTTTCATCACGTCACCAACCCTGTAGCTGGACTCGTGGCCTTTGATGGAGGGCAAGTCATCCGGCATATCTGCAAGCAGAGGCAGAACGATTGACAGGTTTAATATATGTATTTGCGGTATAACTGGTAGGTCTGGTATGCAGGCGGACACCTGGTGGGTCTTTTACAGTGACAAAACTTACGACAGGTCTGCAAAGTGATGAACCATCGTAAGTTTTACCACAGAGGTTGAACTACTGGCAGGTCTGCTGCGAAGCCGACGCAGACGTGTCTTTTATAAAGGCGGGAAAATGCCGAGTTTGTTGGCTGAAGGAGAATAACACCAGATGCACTGCAGCAGCAGTCAGCACATATTTCTACAGATGAGGAAGTCGGCAGGTCTGGTGGCAAACATGAAGGGGTTTAAGGATTTGCTACAGAGGAAACGGAAAAGCCCGCCGGCTGGGGACAAAGAAGAGAGGTTAGAGGATCTCATGGAGTCGGAAAAGCCAGCAGGGTGATCACAGAGGTCAAGAGATCGGCACATCTACTTGTGTAGGGGAGGACTGATTATAACTCAAACCCGCACCGCAAATGCAACGCAAGCAAAGGTAAAACAGGACAGCAGTCTCGTGGCGATGCCAGCAATCATTGCATCTGCCGACGCTGGTCAGATCAAGGTACCATTACAGGCATGTGGAATCATAACGAGCTATAACAACTTCCCAAATATAAGTCGACAATCAATGTGTGCATATTTCGGCAAACTTTGGCAACATACTAGCTTGTTAAAGATCATAAATGGTGCGCACACATGAGCCTGTGGTGTAGGCACACATTTCGACGCTTTTCATTTTCCACACTACCTGAACTGCGGTGGAGTTTCAAGGCGGGGGATGGGACGGCAAAAAGCCGGCTACCGGCTCTAGAAACCCCGGCGCGGAACCATATAAACCTAACAGACCGAGCGGAGTCTGGAATCAAATGTAGATCCGCCAGACGCTTCAGTCGATCGGCCCCCAACAAGAGAAAGCGCCTGCTGAAGACCAAATCGGCGGGATGAAGCGGCGCGCGATCTCTGCCCAGGCACAACAAATCAACGGCGCCTTCTCACATTCGCCATGACGGCGACCCCTTTTCCCGAATCGGACCCACGTGTCCACAGAAACCCCTGCCGTCGGCCGGACGGACGTCAGCCATGGACGCGTGACGCCAGGTCACCGGCGGAAAACAGCCACGCAGCCACAACACTCATGCGCGAGAACTGTGCCCCGCCGGTGTCGGCGTCACCCCAGCTGGTGTCAGCAACGCCGCGCCACGAGAGAACTGGGCCAGGGGGAACGCGCAGGGCCCGACCGGGGCGCGGCAGGAAGAGAGCGGACCGGCCTTGCGCCATGGCGGGCGACGCGACGCTCGAGTCCTGGTCCAAGGGCACGGTGGGATCCGATCCCTTGGAATTAGGGCAGGCAGGCCAGGCAACGTAGTGAGTGCAGCGGACATCTCGGTCACATGATTTGATCATGCAGAAAACGAGGGCTAGCCAACCCAGTTTTCAGAGATTGCAAGACAATAAAACATGATACAAGGTCATCAGTCCGGGCACGACGGCTCGCATCACGCATACTGTGAGCACACAGGCTATCATCGCCATCCAGACCGAGCCACGGCCGGCTGTACACAGGGGTGCACAAACCCGCCTACTTCCCAACAATGTAGGCGACAGAAGAGCTCGTTGAATGGTCTCCTGTTCAGACAACGTTTAAGTTTAACTTATCACCACAAAAGAGATATTTAATAAATTTAGAATAAAAATCGCTCACAGCGAGTAAAAAAGCCTGCAATTTAATTTAGTAGCGGCAACCTATTGCACTGTTGAGTATCAGCTGTCAACTGATTGGTTGTGTCATGGATGTAGCCGTCCTCGGGTTTCCTCCAAGCCACTTGCACGAGACAGCCCCATTACATTTACATCGGCTTTCAAGACAGGGTGAACGATGATGATGATGATTGGGGTTTTAGGGCGCGTCGACTTCTAGGGTCATTTTGCGCCCATAACAGCTAAGTGCTTACCGTGGTGTATAAATGGCTGTGAATCCTACGTTTCTCAAAAATGAAAACAGCTGTCCGGTGCCAAGCATGCGGGAATCGTCACCAATAAGGTCTAAAAAGGTAAGACCTGACGCATCTCGTCCGAAGTAAAGTGCCCGGTCTTCTCTTAACTGTGGGGCAAGAGTGAATAACGTGGCGAACCGTAAGTGGCGCATCACAGCGAGGACATTTAGGGCGTTCCCCACCGCACAAAAGGTAGCTATGTGTTGCGTGCGTGTGGCCAATTCGTAATCTGCTGAGGGTTACTTCTTCGCGTCTCAACTTGCGTGAGCTTGAAGACCATGGACCCAGTTGTGGCTTGATCACCTTTAACTTATTGTTTACAATGGCGTCCCAGCAGCGTTGCCATTTCCCCTTCACAAAGGTTGCGACTGCAGGGTACAAGTCCCTTGCCGGCAAGGGTAAAGAACGGGTGCAAGGTGCACGCGCTGCCCGTTTTGCGGCCGCGTCAGCATGCTCGTAACCTGCGATACCCACATAACTCGGTATCCAGCATAAGACGACAGTTTTACCAGCAAGATCAAGCGCTGTCAGGCGAACTAAAATATCCTGTATAATGGGACAAGGTGGGTTAAATGCTGTTAGTGCCAACAGGCTGCTCAAAGAATCGGATAAGATCACGTGTGAGTTGCTCTCACCAACTTCGATGAAGCATAGGGCTTTACTGATTGCAACGAGCTCGGATGTGTAAACTGAGGCGTGTTTCGGTAAAGAAAAGGACCGGGTGGCTTGATTATTCACAAATGCAGCACCAACGCCTACTTCCCATCATTATATGTGGTTTGAAAACCTATGTACGACCCGATGTGCTCCAGAGCCTTCGATCTCAGGTCGCATGGGATCGCTCCCTGTTTGCTGGTGAATGAAAGGGATGCATCCACTTCTGGTGAATTAGTTCTTATGGAGGCACTAATACGGGACGCGACCTTAGCACACCACGCCAACTTATGTCGCTTTCCCGGAACCGCTTATTCATATGGACACCAAATGGACGGCCTTCCGCTACTTTGGAACTTGCTTTCCACATCACGTGAAAAGATTGCTCGCTGAGTCGGATCGTTGGGAAATTGAGCCAGCTTGGAAAATACCGCATGCCAAGCATTTCCCTTCTCAGTGCCAACGCCGGTTCATTAACTTCCACGGTAAGGCTAGCAACTGGCGACGTTCTGAATGCTCCCGTCGCAATGCGTAATGCGGTATGGTGCACGGTGTCTAATAAACGTTTGGAGGAACTCGGCGCGCGGTCATAAATAAAACAGCCATGGTCAAGTTTCGAACGTATAAGTGAGTGGTATAGCAGTAACAGCGTTCTTCTGTCCGCTCCATGAGATGTTCGAGACACATACTTCTATATGTTCAATGCTTTAAAGCAGTTGAGGGTGAACGAAGCGTGACAGACTGACCGTAGACAGCGTGGAGGAAGCGATGTAACAAATTTGGCGGACGTGTTTCAAACGCAGCGCACAAAACGTTTGAAAACCTTACCAGCCAGCATAGCAAAATGTTTTGGGGCTCGCCATACCACAAGCTTGCCGCGGGATGTCAGTGTTGTGCTGTGTTGTGTAGTGCGTCGCTTCACCTTTATCGATAGTAAAACAAATTGAAATTCTATCACCGGGTGCGATGGAGGATGTTCGCTCCATCACGGTGGCACGCACGATGTGGCTGTAAAGGTTGCAAGTTTCAAGGTAAACTTCGCAACTGTAAACGGCAACAGAGGTCTGAACATAGTGGTGGAACCGTGGTCCTACTGAACACTGGTTTTGGAGTTGGTGGCAGGTGACGCTCTGGAATGTGATCAACTGCTGGTGAGTCATGAATTACCAATTATTTTCTTATATATTTGTCATATTTCAGTAATATATAATTGCTTTGTTTGTTTATTAAGCATTACTACTCACACACTGACATTATTTCAGACATAGGCGCCGGGCGGCGCCATCTGTCGCTGCTGAGCGGCTTGGTTGGGCACTTCGTGTTGCCTTGTTTGTTATGAGCACATGAACAGATGTTTTGCCGCCGAATAACTTGTGCCATCGGCAATGAACGTGGCGTATGGTTCTAATAAAATTCGTCATGTCCCGAATATGTTCGCTATGTTCCGTCATGTTCGCTGTGTTCGCTATGTTCCGTTAACAGAGCCAGTTAGCAATGACGATAAAATATACGATTTAGAATGCACAATGCGTTCGATGATACCATAGACTTAGAACGCATTGTTTTATTCCGCTGTGTCAACGCCATTTGGTTATTTAAGATCACGGATTGAATTGGGAAAAGCTATAATGATGGATACGCACACATATAACTGTGGTTATGGTGTAGCATTGGTGTTAACACTTCGAAGAGAGCGCACCCGTTATATCGAGTCGTTCTGAGCTTCTTTGTTGCAGTTGCATTTGGCGTTTAGATAATTAGACCGCTAAAATACACGCCCACGTTGTAAACGGTTCCTCTTTAAAAAAGAGATGAGAAAAGAGGCGCGAGACGCACGAAAACAATTGCTTTCATACATGACAAGCGCTTATCATTTGAGTATTGTTTTGAATGACACAAATAATGATGACACAGATGGCCATTTGCCAATGTCTTTTAGGGAACAGTTCGGGGAGTTTGTGTAACTCTGGCTGCGCGGCTCGAGACTGTCCCTTGACCCCTCCATAACGGGCGGGCACGGGCCACAGCAACCTCTTCCCCCTGGTGTCACCTGGGGAAATGGCACGGGGCATAACCTGGCATAACCTGGGGCACGGGCCATGCGACCCTCCCGACCCGGTACTGCGACTCGGCGGTCCTGCGATTCCATAATTCAGGATGGGCGAGGGGTTGAGTGACGCGTCACGGGGCTTCGGGCGGCGTTGGGCCCGCGTGGGGTTGCGGCCTTGTGAGGGCAGGGCACGGAGGTCAGGCGCGCTGGCTGAAGTGGTGACTGTATATGAATGACTTTGTTAACATAGGTGATGAGCTGCGTTTTAATCGTT